AGCAGAAGAGTGAATACATATATCAGAAGAACAGAAAGGGAAAATAACCATCGAGTGACGATAAGAATATGTATATTGGAAGATGACAACTATTGATATGAGATTAGATTAACTACTTCCTAACAAATATCTCAAAAAACTAAGTATGAGCTCTCAAAAGTGCCCACATTCTAGGTGCATAAACAGATAAACATTTATGCAGTTGCAGTGTAATGGTTGCGCTCATGTAGAGATCACTTCGGTATTTTTATTCGTTCTAATGTGTGGTCTATATTATATGAAGTACTTGTGGTTGCAGAAAAAGAAAAAGGAGAGAGAGAACACAAAAAATATATCCATTATGCTATAGAAGCTACACAAGTAGCTATAGACACACGCTCTACTTTGTACAATCGTGTCGATGCACATACATGTGTTATGCACTAAGCACTTACTACCTGCCTGATTTAATGATAAACAATATAAATCATTTTTTAAGACTGCTAAGAGCCGCTACGCTTTAATCCGTTCAATATTTTTAATCTCCAGCAATTCCGGTAAAGTCATTTTCGAAACGTATTTTTCATGGTTGGCGACCTGATGAACTTTCTTGTTGTATTTCTTGCGAGATTCCTGTTTCTTGTTATTTCAGTCAAGGATCTTGTTAAATAGTTTACATACACTTTTAGCTCAAGATGCTTAGTTGAAGTGTCTGTCTTATAATTTCAGCCAACAGTCGTGAGGCTGATTATTGGCTTAAAACACTAGATAGAAATTTCAGCCAAGAATCTTGTCTCGTTATTCTTAAAAGAATCTTGCAAACAAAAACATGTATATAAGTATATGCATACTTACATTCCATTTTTCGTCTTTTTTTATTTTCATATATATGGGAGCTAGGCATTCTGACGCTAGTACAGGCATATAAAGACTCGATTGTCTCTCAACAAGAATCTTGTGAAATTTAAAAGAATTTTTACAGACATCTAGGTATAGTATTGAGTTATATTATGTAAGTTATATAAAGCACGGGAACGCACAAAACGAATTGGTGTTTTTATCATCAACGACTCTCATTTCTGACAAGAATCTTTTGCGAAACCAGATGAAAATCAATAAAAAATTAAAAGAAGAATTTTGTCTGATCTATCAAGACAAACTTAAAGATTCCTGTCTGAAATGATAAGAGAAAAGAGTCTTGCAAGAAATATGACAAAAAAGTGAATCAGTGGAGTACACTCAGTGTAGACTAAATAGAAAATAGAAAGGTCAGTTTAAAGGCTTGTGTTGATGCTGTCAATAATTACAACTAATTCCGCTAAACTCTCGGTGATTGAACTCTTTTATGTCTATCCTAAAGTTTATTATATTCATATTTATACGTCACTAAGAAGGCGAGTTTATATCATATCTTTATGTTTACTTGTTTACGAAAACTAGTCTACTAAAATTTAATTGGAGAAAAGCAGGTCATATGAGTATAAACCAATTCAGTCGGCTAGTCTCGAGAAATCTATTATTTATCACTCGCTTAACTAACTATCGGCACCATTTAGACCGAGTAGAAGTACAAAATCTAAACATATCACCGGACTCCGAAACTTTCAAACGCAATTAGAGTCCGGGGATGGAGATATTCGGAATCAGCGTGGTCGATTGCCTATGGGTCCATGATTTTTAGTCCGGGGTACTTCCGAAAATTAAAGCCGGGGGCCTTTAAAATAAACAAGAAATATCCCACCAAAATTTATATAATTGAGAACTCGAACCTTTGAGCTGTTAAATCGCCTCTATGGACTTCGATTGAACCGTTTTATACACTTGCTTTCATAAATACCAATGGTGAGTCGCAAAAGACATCCGATTGTTCAATATTATCATCGACCGTTGCTTTTGGTACTGTGAATATTTTGTGGAATGTTTGCACCTCAATTTCACTTCGACAATTGTATCTCCTTGCAGTAGCAGCCAAACGCACCGTCTCCTTGTCAACAACTGCTGGACACATTTCCGTTCGATAGTCATATGTTATGGCACCTAATTGCAATATCAATTCACCCAGACGATATTCAGTTCGATCTTTCAAATACTCTGGAGCCAAAACTTCTCCGTTATGTATCTTGCTTATTATAACCACACCATCATCAGCATATTCTTCTTCAATATCTTTTAGCTCTTGTTGACAGATAGTCAAAAGATACTTTGTCTAAAGTGCAACGTTAATCTATTTTAACCAGCATCGCGTATGTTTCGTTTTCTTACTTGTGTAGAATCCAGTTCACTCTTAAACATCCTGAACACATGCAGTTTGAGAAATTGTATTTCGTTGAACTTTGCCTAGAGTTATATTTCCAGAAAGCGATCAAAACAGCTCAGAAGCTCGAACGTGGAAATATGGTCATCAAAGGACCATGTTGGATTTCAAAAGTACGTTGAACCAGAAAGTGTCAGATAGGAAAAATGAGTCATTTGTGAAAAACAAATTGAGGTTAAACCGATTAGGAAAGGCCTATTAGCCAAAACAGCTATCATATTCGGAATCAGCATGATCGATTATCTATAAGCTACCGCATTTCGTTAGAAAAGCGATTTGACAGTTGGATATGTTCCCTCGTGAGTTCAAAATTGTGTATATTGTTTGGGTTTTACAGTTATTTTACTGCGCACATGTAATATGGG